ATTTATCGTTATACTCTAACTTTCTGTCACAATGAGATTAACAATAATCAGGTATCAAAAACAAAAGATATATAAACATACAAATTTAATATAACTACACATACATATATTTACATCTATAGATGTTCTCAATAAGGCAGAAAAAAAGGAAGTAAGTGCATTTTCTACTTACAATTATTGTGATGAAGAATTAAGAGCAGCACGTTTTCGATTGGGTATTTCTTCATTTGTATAATTAGTAGCAGCAGCATTTTCAGTTTGATCAACTATAAGTGATATTGAATGAATCGGAACATTTGATGAATTATGACTAGAATAATTCATTGTATCATTTATTGATTTAACATTGATCGCTTCTTCATATGATGGTGGGATATCTACATGACACAAAAAAAAAGTCAACAGAACTATTAATCATGCGTTATTACTTGATTAAAACAAAAACAGAAACAAATATTTACCTATAGGTCGCAAAATACTTTGTTCATAACTGGGTAAACCCATATGGAATGGACTGGAATATCGATGGAAATCTCTAGAGAAAGAGTAACAAATTAAAATGTAACTATTGTAGGAAGAAAAGAATAACATACCCGCTATTCATACTTGCGAAATTAATTGTACCACAATTTTGAGCTTGAAATCTTGCTTGCTAGAATAAAATATTAATAAATTTAAAAGATATTTCGATTAGTTCTTACTCTCATTCTTTGAGCATTGAGCTTTCGTAATGCAGTTAAGATTTTTTCAGCCGATATCCAATACATAAAACCAAATATAATACCGATACCACTTAAAAACAACAATCAACAATTTAATTTAGATTATTGCTATGCTATTTGTTTTTACAAAATCAATACCCGAAAACAATAAATGAAACAGAAAATCTTTGTTTTTCATAAGAAGCAAGTAGAGAACCGGCAACAAGTAATAAAATACCAAAAACTAAAATATACAATAAAAAAAAAAAAAAAAATTTAAATAGTTTAAATCGAAATAAAAAACAAAAGAAAACAAACCTAAGAAAATAACTGCTGATATTTTTCTTTTTCTTGCAAGACTTTCAATTCGAGCATTTGGTGCATTATGTGGATTAGCAGATGATGATGTTGCCATTATAATATGAATTGCATTCATTTTAATTCTTGAAGTCTTGTGTATTTACATTCTAAAAAAGGTAAACGATTTTTAATCATACATTCATTCAAGTCTAGGCAGCCTTTTTTTTTTGTTGATGCATCTAGTTTAGATCAAGCGATAAATCGTTATAGCACAACCTATCATATAATGAAATCGATTGGTTTAGTTGGTTTAACCAATGAAAAACGACATCTGTTAGGTTATTGTTATTTGTTATTAGTTCATCATTAACTTCTTCAATTCTAGTCAATGTCAGGCAGTGGTACGGAGCGTTCAAATTTTCGTGGTAATCGCCCATTATCATCTAATCCACCGCATTCAATATGTGTGACAGATCGAAAAGTTGTTTCATTTACACATTTATGGACAATCGATCATTTTCAATCATATTTAGGTGAATTATTTCCTTTTTTGTTTTTCTTCTTTAGTTAGTTTCATATATTTATTTTTATAATAGACGATCCTCAATCACCTCGTGTTCTCTTTAGTTCTTATTTTTCTCCAAATTTTGGTCCACATACTGATACAAGGTTAATTAATCATCGAATTTATTTTATTATGTATATGTATTTATTTTATTATTTTTAGTTGGTGTTTAAAACTTTATCCAAAAGGTGTTAATGAAAAATCAGTTGAATATATAAGTTTATTTGTTAAATATGTTCGTGGTCGTACTGATTTACAAGCTAAAGCTGAATTTTCATTAATTAATAGTCGTGGTGAATTTCATATTGTACGTAAGACACCATATCATATATTTCCAACAGGTGGCGATTGGGGTTATTCTGAATATTTAATGCGTATGGTATTAACAACACAACGTAAATCAGAATTATTAAATGCTGATCAAAGTTTAAAAATATTTACACGTGTTATTATTGTTGGTGAATCATCATCATCAATAATACATGAAGAAAAAAAGAATACATATGAAAGTTTAATATCATTATCAACACATTTAAATTCATTATTAACATCAACTACAGATAATTGTCATGATGTTACAATTATTGTGCGACCACAACAATATAATAATTTAACATATGAAAATAAATCTTCACATGATATTCCATCATCATCGTCATCATCATCATCATCATCATCACCGACTGATGGAGGAAAATCATCATCATCGAAAAAGAATAATAATAATTCTAGTTCTGGAAGTCATCGAACAAAGCGTAAACGATATAGTACGAACTCAGGTGGAAGTAGTGGTGCTGGAGAATCATCTGGAGAAACTAGTCATGATGAAACAACTTCAACAGCCTTAGCTCTTTTATCAATACCAACTTCAACGACATTTTACGCACATCGAAGTATATTAAGTGTAAGTTTAAATATTAGAATCTAATCGTTTTTTTTGTTCAATGAACTTACTACATATTAATTAAAACTTGACTAATTAGAGAAACTCTCCAAATGTATTTTATTGATTTTCAGTTGATAAAGTTTAGGCATGCATCGAATTCGAGCTCGGGAACTATTCAACTAGGTAAGGTAGGCTCGAGTATTTGGATGATTGTTCAAGTGTTTTCTTGAAGCATATAGACAATCATGGAAACGTTCTAAAATTTGGTTAAACTCTGGTATTCCTAAGCATTATTGACCTTTTTAACTATGTAACTTACTTCTGCTTCCTTTTATTAGTAACGTGAAAATGATCGAAGTTAGACTCAAATCCGAATATTTTAGATTCGGTGCATGCCTGATAAAGGTTCATGTGACTAATAAAAGCTTGCAACAATTTGTATCCGTATCATGTCTTTACAGATTTATGACACTTTGATTTCAAGTGATAGTAGGACATATCGAAAAATCTTAAATCTGCCATAAAATTTTGTTTGTAAATAGATCTCATATGTATTTTAAAAATTTGAAATACTTTTCACTAAAAAGAATGTGTCAGAATAAACCTTGATAAGTATGAGATTTAATTACGAATAAACTTTTATAGTTGAATTTCTTTCTTAAATATCTTAATGGGAGTTGAAAGTTCCGCAAAATTATCATAATTCTAAAACAACAAGGTAGGAGGAAATTGACTCTTGTAAATTTCTGTTAGACTTACTCACTGATATTTAATGAATTGAGCAAAGACAAGTAACTTGAGAGCTTTCTTCGGAAGATAGTTCTGTTTAATGAGAAGTGAAAATACAATTAATAAGAAGGAAAAATTATAAGTTAATCACATTTCAATAGATGATTAAACATCACATGATCTTCAAATACAGTCGAAACTAACTATATATAACTCGAGTTTTTATTATTTAAAAGTATCATTGATGATTCGATAACTCTCTGTTTCGAAACTATTCTTTAGAAATTTTAGATTGTTTCATTTTACAACAAAACGACTTATGCATACCAAATAGGTTAGCTTTGAAAATCTTCGTTATCTTCCCATGAGTGAAATAAAAGTACACATAAAACACTTTACATACTAACGTTTTTGGATTACATGAATTTCGGTTTAATCAAAACATCATACAGGACTTCTCGCATGGGCTCAAGTTCTTCTCACTAGTTTCGTTAAAAATTCTGAATCCTACAAACGATTAGTACATTTCATAGTGCTTAACGGCATGCATTTTCAATAAAGCATCATGCTCAACAAAATCACGTAATCCATCAAGTACAAGTATGTATTCACATTAGATGACCTTTGATATTGTGGATTTCTAAGTAATTAATTGAGTAAACTAACAACTGACAGCTTCAACTGAAGTATTTCATCGACAACACTCGTATAGCATTATTCGTCTGTTACCATACAATGTCATTTCTCGACATGCAATTTGCGGAGCAAAACGCTATAAACATGGTGTTATCTAAATGCGTGCCGTTAATAAGTACTTCTTAGTCAAAGTGAATGCAGCTCTAAAACTGTATTGTCTTACTGTGCACTATGCTGTCTTAAAGAGCACTATATCACCCTGCTGGGCACTATGCTGTCTTAAAGAGCACTATATCACCCTGCTGGGCACTATGCTTTAATGGAAATGTATACCGTCAAGTACTGTGAAGTGCACCTAGTTATTTATAGAAATAAGGCTTTTTATGAGAACGAATGACAGAAATTTCGAACATTGCTGAAATTCTGATCTTCCAAGTTTTTTCTATTGAGTTGTAATTCAAGTCTTATTAGATAAAATGCTAAAATCAGAGAAATCTTTCATATGATTTTCTGAATTGAAAAAGGAATTTTTTTTTGAAGTACATAGTAAATTACCTTTTTGCACGTACTTCTCTTGTATTTTATCGGCCATAAATTAGTTTTCAATATTCAAATGAATATTTTTTTTTTCTATATTTTAGGTTCGTAGTCCTGTTTTTGCTGCCATGTTTTCCCATTCAATGCTTGAAGGTCAAAATTCAACCATTGAAATAACAGATTTACAACCTGAAACTGTTCGTGCTTTACTTGAATATATTTATACGTCAAATGTTGAAGAAATTGATGAACATAATGCCGTAGAAATTTTTAAAGCAGCTGATAAATATGAATTAGAATTTTTAAAACAAAAAGCTGAATTAATAATGATGAATTCCTTGTCTGTATCCAATTGTACAATGCTTTATATAGTTGCTGATTTACATAATGCACATGAATTAAAAAAACGTGTTTTAAATTTTATTATGCGTAATATACTTGAAGTAACTGAAAGTGATGATTGGCGTTTATTAGTTGAACAACATCCAGCATTAGCGACAGAAGCATTTGTTTATTCAGCTGAACATGCTGCTTCATGTGCTTGTTCTTCCTAACTAAAAAAAAACGAAATTATTCATTCTTTTTTTCTTTTTTTGTTTTATCATATGTATATAAATAAAATTGTTTGTGTATATGTACGTTTTAGATGTCAGCTTCACGTTCAAATAATACCGGAACAAACAATGGGAAAGATCAATTTAAGTATGAAAATCATGTTTCTTACAAGAGTCGCAGAAAGTTTCCGTACCGGGTAAAAATTAAATAAACTTCAATCTTTTTGCATAATATGTTGGTTTTACAAATAGAGCTCAATAAAACATAATCACAATCAGCATTTGAAATTGCTAGGTTTTAATGAAAAGTATCAACGATGAAAACACTAGTCTTTTTCCTTAGGATCTACGAAAAGACTTTTTTGACATATTTCTGGTTTTCAATTGTTGACAGCGTTAATCTACTTTTTCTTATTAAAAAAAAATAAAAAACCGCATGCTTATACTGTATTACTGATAGGGTAATTCAATTCACTGTCATTTTAAGATGCAGAGAAACATGAGTTATTTAGAACGGTTCCTGTATGCATTTCTTCTAAATTGATGATTGTGGTTGCGAAATTTTCAAGAGAAACTTAATTAGAGCATAGCACTCCCTGAAAAAAGTTTTGCAACAAATAAGTAAAAATTTACAGGAGAAATGTGTCATTTCGATCATTCCCATCAACTGTCATGTGAAGATTATCCAAAGAATACTTTATAAAACAGGCAAACTTAAATTGTTTGACATGTGATTTTTATTGGTGATAGAGGCTGTACTGACGAGGAAAAGTCTCTAAAGTAATCAATCACTTTTAAGTGGAAACTATACTCAGCCGATCGAGACTAGCCAGTAGGTAAAGATCCTTGAATGATGTGAGTTATTGCACTTTTGTTGCTGAGATAACGAATTTTTAGTAGATTTATCCTGCAGAGCATTACTTTGCAAGCAAAATTATAGCTTTAAATATTGACATTAGATTGGGTTCACATACAGGTTCCGGGCAGAGTAATTTGTAGAAAAGATTTATAATCTTTTGACAAAGCTTCCCTGAAATGTATACACCTTTTGCCATGGTTATTATTTTGAAAGATCTTTATCTCCAAGAGACTTTCTCAAGAAATCACGAAATTTTTTCTACAAGTTAACCTGATCAAGTCCTTTATGGCGTCAAAGTCTCAGATCAAACTTCAAAAATATGATTTTGCTTGAAATGTCGAACCACACATTAAAAATTTACTGAAAATTCGGTATATCAGCAACAAAGCTTCAACAGATTAAATCATTCTAGTATATTTACTTATTGACAAGACTCTATCAATTAGATATAGCTCCAACGTCATGAGATTTGTTTTCTATGTGAATCTTCTAGGTCCTTCGTATAAAGACCAATGAAGTTCTGATGAGTCTTTGCAATCATAGTTCAACATGCTCTATTTGTGGTCAAACTATGAAACTAAAAGATTAAATGTAAAGTATTTTTTTTACCTGGTGGCGAGGCTTTTTATGACCACTATAGGTTACATTTTATCTATGATATTTATTTAGTTGGAATACAGTTAAATCAGATAAAGATCGAGAATGTTATTTAGGACATTCAGTAATGGCACCAACTGGTCGTTGGCAAGAAGGTAAAGATTTAACATGGTAAAGTTATAAAAATAAGTGAATTATTAATAAAAACGAAAAATTCTTTTTTTTTATTCATTAAGGTATGCAAAAAATCGTGATCATGAACAACAAATAAAATCAGCAGAATTTCGTGCAGCAAAAAAAATTGAAGAAGAAGCACTTATGGCTGCATTAGGCATGAAAGTTATGCTGCCGCCGCCACTACCACGTTTGTCCTTATTTTTTTAACTGCTTTTCTTAATTACTATAAACTTTTGTTTTAGCTCCTGTTGCAACTTCAACTCAACAAAAATTGACAACTAAACGTGAATCACAATCAACATCAATTAAAAATGAACCAATGACACCAGCCATACATAATGATTCACGTGATTTAAAACAACATCATAAAAATCCAAAACATGATAATCAACGAAAAGAAGATCGTAGACGACGAAGACAATTAAAAGCAACTGGTTCTGATGAAGAAAAACATGATTGGTCAGAAAGTGATGAAGATGGTTTAATAGATGATATTGATGACGAAGAGGATGATAAAGGTTCATTTTGGGTTGTTATTTTTTTTTAAATCAAATAATGGATTATCTGTTTTAGCGAAACAATCAATTGAACCAAATACCATGACTGAGAAAGAATTAGATGAATTTCTTATTGATCTTGTCAAGAAACATGGTTTTAAAACAATAAAACGAACATTAAAATCAAAAAAGTCAGTTTTATTCAATGAATATAATTTTCATTTTTGTTTTTTTTTTATGTTATATAGAGAGAAAAAAGAACATAAACGTCAACATTCCTCATCATCATCTTCTTCGCCTTCAGATTCCGAATCAGAATCAAAACACAAACATAAGAAAAAACAGAATCATCAAGAAAAATCGAAATCAAAAAAACATCACAGGACTCGTTTATCATCAGAGAAAGATCATTCAAAACAGAATCGAAAATAATAAACTCTTTATTGTTGTTGTACAATTTCATTTTGTTTTTTTTTCCATGTATTCAAAGTTCAGAACAATAAAGATCACAGTTATTTAAAAATATCTTTATTGTAGATATGTTTAATCGGCTGTGTTCAATAGTATCTTATTCTGGTCGTACTCAACGATCATTTACCATATGTCAAACGTTACGTTTACATTCGACAAAAACTTCAACTAATAAAGATTCAAAAAACCCATCAACAAAAAGTAAAACTCCTATGGGAAAATTAGATGAATATTCGCATCCAGATGCTGAAAAAAACCCATTAAAACCATGGCCAAATAATACAAATCCAATAACCGGTGAAATTAATGGGCCACGTGGACCTGAACCAACACGTTATGGTGATTGGGAACGAAAAGGCAAATGTGTTGACTTTTAATAGGCGTTTATTCTATCTAGTTAGAATGTTTTTTTTTTCAAAATTCTTTATTAATAAATAGATAAACAGGCCATTCAGTGTGAAACAGAGCCCGAAAACGAACCGAACTCGAACCGAACTAAGACAGTTCGGTTCGGTTCGAGTCAATCCGAACCGAACTCAAACCGCTTTTTTGAAAGTACAGTCGAACCGAACCGAACCGAACCCGAACCGGCTTTTAGAAAAAAAAGGCGAACCGAACCGAACCCGAACTTGTTACACAAAAACGAATTCGAACCGAACCGAACCCGAACCAAGTTTTAGAAAATGAAGACGAACTGATTTCGAAATCTAACAAAGAATATGCAGATCTCCGTCTCCAGTATGGATACGATGTTTCATCTGCATCTGGGTCCTTGCGTATAGGGCACCCGATCAATATAATAAGTGGTGTATTTGGGCGTGCATCACAGCAAGTTTGTGTACACGAGTTAAAATGCTTATCGGAGCATCTGCCAAGTGAAAGGTGTGGGTGTGAGTGTCTGGTTGTGGCTGTGTGCGTGAACATCAGGTGTGGGTGTAGGAATGGGTGTCTGGCTGTGGCTGTGCGTGTGTGGAAGTGGGGTGTGGGTGTGTGGTTGTGGCTCTGCGCGTGTCGGAGTGTGCGTGCGGGTGTGGCTGCGTAACAGAGCCCGAAAACGAACCGAACTCGAACCGAACTAAGACAGTTCGGTTCGGTTCGAGTCAATCCGAACCGAACTCAAACCGCTTTTTTGAAAGTACAGTCGAATCGAACCGAACCCGAACCAAGTTTTAGAAAATGAAGACGAACCGAACCGAACTCGAATCAAAAAAAGTCGGTTCGATTCGGGCTCTGGTGTGAAAATAAAAAGGAGTTCAATGATTATTGGATCGCTTCTTCTGCTATTGAGAGTATAAGCATATTCTAATCAATGACTAATAAGGAAAAGAAAGTTAGTTATTCTTCTACCTTTTAACTTCAGGTATATGTTAAAATTACTGACACTACTAAAGCTGCAAAAAACTATTGAATTCAAATTGAGTTTCATACGAACATTGATTCTGGACTGTGGTTTTTGTTTTCAACTTGAATATAGTGTTTTTTGTGGAGACGGACATTCATGGTTACTTTGAGTTTTATTTATACAAGATGTTTTACCAATAAATATAAAGTTAGTTAGTGCTATCTTCTACATTTAAAGCCAAAGTAACCAGTGTTTTATATACACTCCACTTTCCGAAGGGACAAAATAAAACTCCGAAAGGACTAATCCGATCTATGGAGGAACGCTACCATTTCGGTCCTCAAACTGAATAAAATACTGAAGATAGCCGTAGATGTGCATGTCCACATAACATACTATAGTTTATTTTTACATTGAGCGAAATACAATTGTTTATATGAATTCCTTTGAATAAAGAAAATATATTGATCTCATCACATGCATTACGACAGACACAGAAATGACTGTAGTCATTTATGATGTGCAAACAGAACTTAATGGTACATGACAAATCATATCAAATATTTTCTAATTTTTCTAACATAAAATATCGTGATAAATATCAACATTAGCTCTCTCAATTTTATATTATAATGAAGAACTAATGGAATGCAAAAACGGAAAGTGATATTACTAGAAATTCGTTTAGAACAAAAAGTAATTCCGTCACATTTCATGTTCAACAGATATACCGTGAAAAAATTTTCTCTTAATATAATGTCGGTTGTTGAACAGTAGTCAATAAATGACATGATAATATGAAGTAGATTAATAACAACAAGTATTCTTTTATTCAAGGAAAGTTTTCGATGTCAATACCATACCATCATTAGTGGTTATGATATAAGATATACGTAATTATTTCTTTTGAATTTTCTTTTCTATCGTTTTTTGCCGTGTTCAGAATGAAAAGAAAAAACACTAGAGAAATAATTGCGTATAATTTGTATCATAATCATTCATGATGTCTTATTGATTTCAAAAACTTTTCTTCGTCATATTATTTTAATCACAGAATGTATGTTATTGTTTAATTATTTTATATAATCATAGCTATTCTTTTTCTATTCTAAAACTTGTACTATTGGTAATACCTAATAGCAACAATCATGTCTAAATAAATTTTTACCATTGCTAGAATTTCTATAAACATACGAAATCTTAACATGCATTATTTATAAAACAGAAGTTTATATTTAGATAAAGTTTATTGATGAATCTATTGATAACAGATAAAATCTAGATATGATTCCAAATGAAAGAGAAAGAGAGAGAGGAAAAATAATAATAGTAAGTTCAATTAAGTTAATTTAATGTGTATTTTCAAGTGTTGAATTAACCGAACCAGCAACTGAACATGTTGAACTTGTTGGTGATGTCGATGTAGGTAATTTGGGATCATCTTTAGAATCAACATTTTTCAATGAACTATTGCTATGATCACCACAATCAAGTGCACCAGCTTTTCCATTACTAACAGCAGCAGTATTGTCACGATACGGAGCGGTAATAATAAGTCGTTTACCATCATGAAGAAATGAGCGCATATGTTCAACATCAATATTCTAGAAATAATCAAATAAAAAAAATAATGATATTTCATTATCAAAACCGAGGTCAATGATTCCAGATGCCTAGATTTTTCTAGTTCCGGTCTACATCAACCGTTACCACAGTTGGTCATCAGATTCAACCGATAAATTCCTATCACATTCTGACTGATGAGAATATTAACTTACTGGTGGTAGTGTAACAGCCTTATAAATATATGAACGAGCTGTATGATGTTTATCCGATGCACTTGATTCAGCCTGAAATTAATTAAAAGATAAGTTTACAAAAAACATATTCAAACTATATATTTACTTGAACAATTAAATCACGATCTTTAAGATGAATTTGAATTTGATCTGGTCGAAAACCAGTCATATCTAATGATAAATCAATTTTCTTGCCTCCTTTTTCTGTATCATCAATAATTTTAGGTTCAAATGCACTCTTAAAAAATTCATCAAAATTAAATTCTTTTAAATTAGCACCAGATTGTTGTAATTGATGATGATGATCATCTATTTAAAACAAATAAAGAATTATTTTCAGTATAATTTATACTAAATGTTTACCTCGTTCTGTAGCCTGTGTAATTAATGGAAATTCAACGACCAATGTACCTAAATAAATATATTAATTAGGTTTTCAGCATAGGCCAAAAAAAAACAATACAAACCTTTTGCAGTAAGAAACGATGTCATATGTTCAAAACTAGCATTTTCAGGTAAATCATACGTTTTACGCATTTCTTTAACCGAAAAATCATCACCTGAGAATAAAAAAAAAACGGAAATTCTATGAAACTTTGTTTTTTATTCATACCATCACGAAATTCTTGTTTTCCATCAATAAATAATTTACGACCAACAACTTTAACACTTAAATCTTCTGGTTTATAACCATGTACATCTAATGTAACACGAAATTTATCAGTATGAGGTCGTTTTTTATGACCCGTAACTGGACAGAGTTGTTGTTGAAGACGTGGTGGATCTTGTAACCATCTGAATAACAAAAAAGGTTTGATTATAGATATTTGAAACAAATTTGTTTCTTGTTTCATATTTACTGAAGAGCACTTTGCATTCGATGCGAAGCTAAATCGATTTCATCAAATGGATCAAATAAATCAAGTGATGGACCTTAATGAAAAAAATATTTTCTAATGAAAAAAAACAAGGAAACTGAGACATTGACTAACCGAGAAAATTTTCAAAGTCAAAAAGTTGTCGTGGAAAACGACCAACTGGTAAATGATGATGTTCTTGTGAACAGTGTAATTGTGACATGATGCAGTAGAGAATGTAGTTACTTTTAAGTAATATAACACTCGAATGAACAGATTAACGCGCCTTTACATATTTTATATATCTCTCATTTCTCTTATTCTCTTTTCTTTTATTTTCATTATTGTGACCTAGTTTGACCAATAGACGAAAGCCAAAAAGATAAAATTTGCTTAGTATATTGTTTACATAGATAGATTTCGAATCGAATGGCCGACGGATAAATCGACGACGTCTATTCCTTTTGATATTTGTAGTCAGAGAGAGAGACAAACAAAGAAATATAAGTACACAATGCATTTAGCTAACGATATGTTGACAATAGAATAGTCCGTCAAGGATAATATTATAAGAATTAAATATATTTGATATTGGGATTTACAAATTGTGTTAATATTCAATTATAGGTTATTTGTAATATGTCATTGGAATAAGAAACTTTTCGAAGTGATTTGTCTTCATTTATTTAAAATATTTGAATAGCAACCATTTATTATCATTAGAGGATATAAACAGTTATCTTCTTCACTTTCTTTGTCTTGTATTTATTCTAATCGCAAATACCACAATTATTTTCAAATTTTAATTGAAATGAATGTTATGAGAAGAATTATTCGGTTATGAAACTATTAAAGATTCATCTATCATTAAATAGAACATTATGTTTATTTCTAAATAAAATTTTGATACAAATAAACGACAAATATCTAAATAAAGAGTTATATATGATCGTTGTAAATACA